AACACACAGACACACACTCACACCCAATACCAAAGAAAATGAAGTAGCTTGGTTTTGTAAGTGTGCATTAAGTCTCTCCATACTTACCCCCAATCATTATGAAAGCATGAATCCTCAGACCAAATACTCCCTACTGAAGAAAAAATCTTGGGTAAACAGTAAGAGTCACTCAAAGAAATATAAGGAAATAGCAAAACAAGTACCTTTTGGAATTGCTCTCCTCTCACCATTGTAGCGCAGAAAAGTTGCAAATCCACCAATCCCTAGTAAAGCAGCTGGCTGAAAAAATAAGGGGACAAATGTCAATTAAAGTAATAACATATTTTGGTATAGAATTAATGCAATTACATGCAAGTGACATATAATGCAGAGTTCTCAACATCCCAGCAAAACGTGGCACTCATTGAACACAAAGTTGTATGCATTAACTACTGACAGCCAATTTGTTAAAGTTGTGAACAAAATGGAACACATCAAAAACAGGGAATATAGGGTCTAGACAGCATACAACAAGATAACTCCTATTGGAGGATCCTGATTGAGAAGCCTGCTCTTCTACTTGCAATACAGGATTGGGTTCTCCCTTTGCATTACTCTTTTTTGATGATTTTGCATAGCTGCCAGAATGGATTTGTCTAGACGAACGAAACCTGCTCCAAATACAGGTAATTTAGCAAGTATTCAAAAAGCTAAGACTGCAAGCAACGCGTGCCCATGTTGTAATAAACCCCATAACCTCATTCCAAAAATATGTCAAAACATGATATATCCTTCTAACAGAGTAAAATTAAATAGAAGGCAAACATGTTTACTTATCAATGGCTAAGCCCATCAAAACCCATTTGACTGCACAGAAAAAGAACCCCAAAAGTTCCAATCTTGATAAAGATACAGGTAATATACCCAGAGTTTTACTCAAAAAACGATTCCTGCATCAAACCAGTCCTAGCATTACGAACTAAACATTAGCTACATAACCCAGAATTTAACAGAGAAACAAAACACATTCATCTATCCTGGTTGTGAATAACCATCTAAACTCAGTGGTACCCATGTCAAGAGAAGGAAAAAAAGACAAAACGAGCATACTGAACACCCAATTTGCAGAATCAAAACCCATATCCCAAAACACAATTTTACAGGAGACAAGGGGGATGAAAAACGAAAGGGTTTTTAAGGGTTAAGAAGAGAGTAACCTTTGGAGCAGTGGCCCAGGACAGCGTTTGGAGAAAGACAGAAGAACCCGAGGAATGGGCATTTTTTTTTTTTTCTTTTTTGGTCTAGAAAAAAGTATTCAACAAAAATTCTTGAAAACCCATAACTCTGAAAAATTAGGACTTAAGCGCAGTAGGAGCACGTATCCGCAGAGAGATTTTCTTGGTGCCCAAGCTTAATTTTTCTCCTCTTTCCTTAAAAAATTAAAAAAAAAAAATCAAAATCCTTAAACCCAAAAGGCAATATGATTCAAAACCCCTAATTCTGAATCTTCTCGCCTCTCGGAGTCGGAGTCGGAGTCGGAGTCGGGAATTAACGAAAACCGAATTGACAGCCTACAGACTACAGTGTGAAAGATCTAAGGCCCATGTTATACAAGTCTAAGGCCCAAAAAGTCCCGACAGCTATTTCCCTTCCTCGCTGTCTTGGGCTGCTGCCTGCTGGACGACCTTCTTAGAATTGGAACCAAAAATTTCTTCTTTAATGGGCTGGTTTACAAAAATGCGGGGTACCTTGGTGTATGTCATGTATTCAAATAATAGTCAAATTGAATCCAAAATTTTTTACATCGGCCCAAAATCTTTAGCTCACATTAGAAACCACACAATAACAGGCGGCTTTGGCAAATTGGCAACTATCTTTTTTTTACAGTAAAAAACATGATTAGTAACTTAGCATATGTTTGAATACTGATTGAACAATCGACCTGATGATCACTTGAAAAACGTGATTAGTACATTATTATATTTACGCTCCACCTTATTTCTTATACAAAAAAACGTGATCATTTGAACTACATGGACCACATTAGAGAATGCGGCAACTATTTAAACAAGTGAAACAACCCAAAAGTGATAACGCTTTTGCCTGTGAATTCTTAAAATCTTAAACTCAAGTTATTAATAGTAATTAGTAATTATTTGTGAGATTTTTACATTTTTAAACTTAAATAATTAATAGTAATTAATAATTACATCATATCAGAACTAGGTAGGTGATGGGATAACAATGAGAACGATAAAAAATGACAGTTATAACCGTCTATGGGACACCATACATGCATTTTGTCAAATCTTTATTGGACCGACGATGGGTTGTTTTTGGTCGGGATCTCGGATTTAGGAACAGAACGTCTGCGAAGACAAGTCAACGGACAAATCCTACATCTAGAAACACAGGGACCACTTCTCTGTGGACTATAAAAATGTTTGACCCAAGACCATTGGCAACTAAACAAAACACAACATTTACGATTAAGACGCAATGCTTATGTACAAAAGTGATGTATAAATTTTGTATGATTCCATGGAAATCCCAAACTGGTCAGCAGAACTGGGCACCATTATTATGCCATAATAAAAGGTGGAGAGTTGCCTAGTAGGGCTTAGACTTGACTTAAACTTGGCCACCAAGTTCGTCTGATTTTTCATGGTAGAAGTTAATTGGATCATCTTCATGAATTGATGAAAAATAATGGAAAATTAAATTGCACATAACCTAGTTTTGCTTTTGAGTGCATATAATTTAATTAGACTTCAACTATATACATCACCTATTTGTATAAAGCTTTAAATTGATGTTCAATTAATCTCCAGTAATTCATAAAAAAACAAAAAAAAAAAATTGATATATACTTAATTTAACATATTTTTTGACATTTGTTTCAATTTAATTATTTAAATATAATATGAGTATAATTGATTTAATCAATTTTTATATCCTATATATTATTATATTTTTAAAATTATTTATTTTTAATTTTAAATTAAAAAATAATAATTTTTTTAATAAATATATTATATAATATATTAAATCAGGATATGTACTATTTAATTTTAAAATATGCACATAACTATATAAAATTTGCACCATGAGTATCTTGCTCCCTACCCTTAAGTTAAATGAAATTCTAGCTTTTCCTTGTATTCCAAAATTATGAATGACCCCAGAGAAAAATGTCCAAAACAAGGAATAATTGAGAAGTATTATTTTGACCATCAAATTAAAATACGAACATAACACCAGAAGCTTCTAAGTATTTTCTCTATTATTATTTTTTCCAAAGTTCATGATGCCATATAATTTAATTATGAGTATTATTCATTTGTGTATTCATGTATTGTCATGTCATCAGTTTTTTTTTTTTTTTAAACTACTCGTTAGACTTTAATACGTATTGACATTTTTTAGTTAATTAATTTGTATAAAGATTCTAGTTCTAAATGGGCGGTG